AACATACCTAAAGAAGCCCCCCTGTAAACCATAATATCCTTGGCCAAGTTCAATTCTAGCTGGGTCTTGGTTTCTCTAACTTTATCCCTATCATCCTGTACAATTCCTCCGTATTTCTCCCAGGCCACCTGTCATTTTCTCCACTTCCTGAAAGCTTCTTTTTGCACTCTGAGCTTGCTCAGCAGTTCCTTATCTATCCACAGAGGCAACCCAGTATTTTTGCCCGATTTCCTCCCTGTTGGGATGCATTGCTCCTGAACTATGATTCTAAAATAAATAAACATTGTTTTCTTATTTTTATCACTTATGGTATATTGGTTAATTTAATAAAATTTAAAATATATAACAGCTGCTATTTAAAATGCTGTTTGAAAACAATTATAATTAAAATTTAATTCTCAGCCTTAATTTTTATATTTAAAGTAAAAATCAACAGCCTCGTAGAGAAATTATTCCTTTTCTCTCTGTTGCAGAATTGAAAACAGATAAAAACTAACAACTTACATATGAAGCCATGAAATTGCTTCAGTTAACTTGAATAAACATGAGATTAGGTGAAAGTAGGAGCTAAATTATAAATTTTGTAGTCAGACATTAGTCAAAAATAACAAGAAGAATTGTGTCAAAACTTCTTCACAGAAATAAATCTTTTCCTGTGAGGATTTTAAGTAGTTAACAAAACTAATTAATAAAGTTAATAAAAATATTTTTTATATATTTTATTTTACATTTCTATATGTAAAATGTTAAATTACTTTATATTGTACAGCTGATAGCTGAACCACAATTCAATCTCCTTTGATTTATAACAGAGCTCTGGTTTACTACATTCTTTAAAGCTGATTTAAAACTGTCCCTAACTGCCTCTCACCAAAACATCAAAATTCTAACTGCAGCCAAATATCAAATAGGGCTCTATGCGTACATTCTGCATATAGATTGTAAACAGTTTTTATAAATATTTAGGGGTTTTTGTCTCCCTGTGGTGGACAGGAACAGGTCCAGTCCTATATAAAGCTTGGACTTATCATCAGTGTTGCTTCATCCTGGAGTGGTATGTTCATCACAAAACATTTGCAACCACCTCCTTTATCCACTCTAGTTGTTTTTCTCTGAAGCATCATCACCATAATGCATCTACTTTAGTGACGTTTGTGTCCTCCTTCTTTTCTTTTGCATTCCCTTCCAATACTCTTAGAGCATACTCTAAGACTCAATTGAAAAAGGCCATAAGTACATTAATGGCACTCAGGAACAGACATTGTGTTCCCAGTAGTACAGTGATAAGAACACTTATCAACGTATAGTATAAAAACACTATCATAGGGATGGGTCATCTGTACAAAGTGTTCTTCTTGGATAGGTGATTCAAGCCTAGAAGCAGCACATAATGAACAGGCGTATAGTTAAAAAACCCGAAAGCCTGTGGATGTTACCTTCAGAATGACATGTCAGTGCTGGAAAAAAACTTTTTTTTTAACTTAGTATATAGATGGTAACATTAGGGACTTGACTCAGCTGACTGACTCAAATAAGTCACTGAGGCCCAGATACCTATGTTTAGCAGATGAAAATAAAAATTCTAAAAGCGTACATTTGGTATTTAAATTTGCAGTCTGCATTTTCTTCCAGGAATTTAGCATTATCATCTTCAACAACCATTTCTTAGAGGCAACAATAAGTTGTTGCTGTTGTTTTCTTCAACATTCATTTGCTCTTTATTCGAATTATAATTTCAAAATTTATAGTTTTAAGCTTTTCTTCCTATCTATTTCTTTGATTTGATCTTTTATAAAAAAAAAAAAAAAAAAAAAAAAGGTGAAAAGTTGAAATGCGTACTATGGTACAAGAGTCAGCACTTTAAAACAACCAGTCAATAATTTGAAGTGGGACAGAGCACAGTAAATTTTGGAGGCTGTCATGGGGGGTAGTGGAAGTTTCAAACAGAAAGATAATTAGAAAAAGCCTTCTGTTGAGTCATGAGGTATACAAAGCATCCCTTTGCACTCCTCAGAGAGGAGCCTGAATCCAATTGCAGCTGAACCCAATCTTAGCTCCAGACTGTCAACAGTTTAAGTCTGAGGAATTATAGACGTGTGATTGAACCTTCATAAAACTTGCAGAGTTAGAGATGGCAAATCAGATCTACTTACATAAAATGTATTATTTATTATGACAAATCATTAGACAAAAGAGATTTTAATCAGAATTATTTATTACACAGTATAGAAGCTAAAACTATTAGTACAGTATGATATAGTATAGTGCACTGTATCAAAGCAGTTACATTAAAGCAACTATATTAAAATTATCAAAAAAGAAAGAAACAGTTACTAAGTAGAGATTGATGTAACTTATCTATACCTACGACTGTTGACATATCTCTTTTATTCAGTCTCAAGGAGTAAACTTGAGAGGCATCCCACTCAAGGAAGATCTCCATACACACTCCAAGAAAGAGTGTTTTAGAAGAACCTACTGGATGAAAGTGGACTGGATTTTTATAGTGTAAAGTGCCAGTCATATGTCTCCACATTAGTGTCCAGTCCAGCTGTGTCAGTTTATCTGCCAAATCTTTGCCTCACTATCAGGGTGTTAAGTTTAGGGTTGATGTGTCATACTGGTTTTAGCATAACTCAACACAAAAAGTACGACGTACCCTCCCTCAGTCCACCACTGCAATCTTGAAAATAGGGCATTGTTTGAGTTGCTTGACCACACTCCCAGGGCAAAGTATCCTGCTACAGAGGCTTCACAGAGGAAAACCACCCTTTGGAGCTACCCCTCTGTATGCATTGCTTGTAAAGACATGCTAAATTCCCCATTTTAGACAGCAAAAACTTTGAGATATGTCCACTCACACACAGATCTATATATATATCCACTCACACACAGATCTATACCCATTTGACTCAGTCACAGAATCTTTCAGGCTACTGTTAGGCTGGTTTCTTGTTTCTTTCTTTTTGAAGATTTTAAAAAAATATTTATTAAAAGGCATAAAATTTTCAAAACACTGAAATGCCTGCATAAGTTTTCTGACATTTAGAGAGTCACGGGTCTTTAATGCTTCCAGTTCTTTGTCCATTCAACAGATACTGCAGAAGGTGTTTTTCTACTTCAAGTTTTCTTTCCTTTGCCCCTCTCTAAAATGGGGAGCTTGTTCCTGCATTGGTATCTTTCTTACTGTTCCTTTGTTATTTGATAAACCTAAAAACTCAAAACCAAACCAAACAAAAAATGCAACCAATAGTGTAATTAATAATTACGAACAAAAATATTTTACCATTTCTATTCACTACTTAATAACAAAGAAATTCTGTACATTAACTGACATGATTTTTTTTTTTTTAACATCTATGTAGGGAAAATAATTATTTCATGCATTTTGAGTATATTTGCTTTGAGATTAAACAACAGCAATGTCATTAATGCATTATTGCATGCTGATTTTTGAATTTTGATGTCTGTGGTTGTGTCAATTTCAGCAAAGAATCACAGAATCACAGAATGGGTAAGATTGCAAGGGACTCAGTGGGTTGTCTGATCCAACCTCCCTGCTCAAGCAGGGTTATCCCAGAGTACATGGCATAGAACTGCACCCAGACAGTTCTTGATTATGTCCAGTAAGGGAGACTCATAAACTCTTTGGGCAACCTGTTCCAGTGTATGTCACTCACAAAATAAAAAGACATTCCTCCTCTTGTGAGGCGTATTTAGGTGTAACTTCCTGTACATCACTTTCTCTCCATTGATTCTTGTTCTATTGCTCAGAACTACCAAGAAGAGCCTGACTGCATCCTCTCAACACCTTCCCTTCAGACACTATAGACATCGTTGAGGTCCACTCTTGTTATCTCTTCCTGAGGCTCAACAGGCCCAATTCTCACAGCCTATACTCATGAGAGATGCTCCAGTACCTTAATCATATCTGTTGCCCTTCACTGGATGCCTCCAGGGGCCCCATGTCTCATTTGTACTGAGGAGCCCAGAACTGGACACTGCACTTCAGATATGGCCTCATAGGGCAAAGAAGAGGGTCAGGATCACCTCCTGTGCCCTGCTGGCAATGTTCTTCCTAATGCACCGCAGGATACCATTGGCCTTCTTGGCTACAAGGGAACACTGTTGGCCTGTGGCCCCCCGGGTCTCATCCACAGAGCTGCAGTTCTCAATATATGTCACTGTCCATTAATCCAGTCCACACTTCTTATGTTTGCCTAAGAAGATGTGTGAGACAGTGTTAAAAACCTTGCTAAATTCAGGGTACACAAGACCCACTGCTCTCTCCTTGTCCATCCATGTAGCTGTTTCATACAATCAGGCTAGTCAAGCATGATTTACCTTTAGCCAATCCATGCTGACCACTCCTGATCACCTTTTAGTCATCCATGTGGACTCAGAAGAATTGAGGCACTCTAACACCTTTCCAGAGATTGAGTTGCCAAGCACTGGAACAAGTTGCCCAGGGAAGTGGTTGAGTCACCACAGCTGGAGTTATTTAAAAAAAAAACATTTAGATGTGGCACTTAAGTACATGGTTTAGTGGTCGACTTGACAGTGCTGGGTTAATGGTTGGACTGAATGATCTTAATGGTCTTTTCCAACCTAAAAGATTCTATGATTCTAAAATACTTTTACTTGTAACAGGCATCAAGGGCCACCAAGATGCATAAGGATTTGCATGTAAAGTAAATAAACAGGTGAAAAATAGAACGTGGGAATCCTCTCATACAAAGAAACATTTGACCATGTTATTCTGTAGTTAGCAAAGCTGTGATATTCTTGTATGTAAATGTGCTTAGGGGATACAGATACACAATTGTAGGTCTTTGCACAATATCCCATTGAAATCTGCTCTATAGAAAATGATACAGACATCACAGAATATAATCCAGAGTATAATGCAATACTCTCAAATCTTTTAAGAATACTTAGGAAAACAAGTGCATTTGAATAGCTTCTTTGAAATCATGTAGGGTGATATATTGTAATGTATTACCTTGATTTCCATTTTAAACTTCTGCAAGAGCTTCTTGGGATGGTGACTCTGTCTCCTTAGAGCAAGTTGCAGGGTCTTCTGTGGAGTTGCAATATTTATATACTTACATATAATCAACATATAACTCAGTAAATCTTGTAAATTAGAAGTAATCATTCTCTCATACACATCCACCTTCATTTCCCTGACTAAAAAAACTCCCAACCAACCAGGCTTTATGTTGCAGAATCATAGAAAAAGCAAACTAAATATCTGAAGAAAGGTTTTCTACTAGTCCCCTTAGAAAAGTACAGTGTGTTAAATTTATGCAATGAATATTTTTAAGTTTTCTTAAAAAGAGCTTACTCCCTTCTGAATTCTGCATTTGTTACTGTAATCAGTGCATGGCTGCCAAATCTGGGGAGATTCTGTGTGCATCTATCTTGGACACGCGCTGAGACATTTAGGCACAATATACAAGAGACATCTATTTTCAAAACAACAAAGATACTACAGAAAAATGAACAGTGGGGTATAAATTTGGAAACCATATGTTTACAAGCCATGACTCAGTATTGGAATTCATACAGTGATTCACTACAATGCTCATAATGGAAGATGTGTCATGGGAAACATGGCATGACAGCAACAGGTATCTAAATGGCTTTTGCTGATGTACTATTGTTTCTTGTATTCACAAGTAAATTGGCTGAGGATAGTTAGGCTTCTGCGAATTGACAAGAGGATTTCTCACCTGTCCAGGCTGCGTAAAGACAATCCCTTTTAATCCAGCTGGGGATTTCCCCCATCTGGATACAATCAAACACAATTTTCTCTGTTTCAACATATTCTAAATCAGACTTTGCTTTCCCAATATTTCTGAAAAGCTTTGCTGGGAGGTGTATCCTATCATTAGGAAAAAAAAAAAAAAAAAAAGAGAGAAGTTTGTAGGGAACTTCCTGTAGAAAGAATAGGAAGAAAAGATGTTGAAGCTGCAGTACAAGGCTGCCAAATAAGCTTATTTCTGCATATTTTATAATACAATGGATGAAACTTGCAAAAGCCAGTTAAGCTGAAATCTTTTTCTGCTTTTTATGGTGTTTCTAAGTTGTTTGATTTTTTTGGTAGCATAAATGTAGGCTCTACTTTGATATTTTTCCCCCATAACTACACGTGGCAATTATAATAACATCCTTCAAAATGTACTTTCTCTTTGTGAAAATACGTTATTTTTCTATGTTATTTCATTATTTTTCTATCTTTATTTTATTAAATATACAGTATACCTTCTGTCATCCATAGGTTCATTTCCATGAAGTACTTCATAGGACAAAATGTCAGCCTGAGCTTTATTAAAGGCTTCTTTGCAATCAGCTCTTTCATCGTCATTCTTCCTAATAAGCTGACTGATGCAGTGTTGTGCCTCAGGGACATCACAATATATCATGTGAACCTACCATGGATCAAAAATTAGATCACACTTCCTGTAAAGCTGGTACATTTGTTTGTAATTCATGCAGTTTACATAACTGAAAGGATAGAAAAACATGGGTTTTTTTCCATTATGCCATTCTCATCCTTCACTAATTTACCTTTTAAAATAATGTCAATTAATGAGTGTTCAAGTTGCTCTAATCAATTTTCTGTAGGCTTTCAGTGGATATGTATGGTTCTTTAATTCCATCTGTTATTCTGAAAATCTAGTCTGTAAATCAATGTACACTAAACATTTTGCCATTTCTAAGATTTTAACAATAATAAAAAAACCAGAACTTTTTAACAGAACTGTATAGAAAACCCATCTAATAAATTTTCATGTTTGCAGAAACTGTGTTCTTACCTTCTTGACAAGAGATTTCAAGAAGGCTAGCATGGTCATTTGAGGTTTCATTGCCTTGTTAAATCTTCTTTCACTTTGTAGAAGCTCAGTGACTTCCTTCTCTCGCTTCTGCAAAGATTCTTGTATCTTTTGTAGGATGGTGTGTCCCTGCCAAAGATATCCTTTTTCTATTGACCATTCAGTCTTCTGTTCTTCATTAGTTATCTGGGGGAAACAAAGATAACTCTTATACACTAAGCTAAGATCTAGATTTTCATTATTTTCATATGAAATTACCAAGATTTTAATGAGCAAGGTAGAGCAAAAATGGAGAAAAGCAAAAGAAATATTGATTATGAAGATCTGTTTGGTTCCAACATTCAGAATATAGTTTTTATAATTCAAAGAAGTAGATATTTAAAAGATTTTTGTAGCAGCATTTTCTGCTATCAAATATTATAATGAAAACAGAACACTATCAGCGATTACTGAACCAACTAATTGATTTCACTACTGTGATATTTTAATCATTCATCAAAAATTTATCCTTTTCCAGCTATGTATATATTTGCACACAATTTTTTCTATCAGTTAGTCTCATAGTTTACTTCAGTTTTGCTACAATCAGCCTGATTGCCTTTGAAACACATAGAATAATCCCACAACCAACCAATAACTTTTCCATTTTTATGCTCACTTGTTCTGTTTTTAGTAGCGAAACCTCTGACACATCTGATTTTTCTCCTTCTGCCTTTTCAGACTTTGCCTGAAGAATTTTTATCTGAAAATTCATGAGGTCATGCAGCTTTTCCACATGTAGACTGATGTTGTGAAGATCCTGCAAAGCTGCATTGAAAACAACAGAAAACCAGGTAGGAACAACTTAAACATTTCTAATCTTTATTTCTCACAATACTATCTTTGCCAAATGATTTCCCTTTAGAAGTCAAGAATTTATCACAAACTAATTTTTTAAATAATCAATAATTCTTTTCCGTGTATTAGAACTCAAAGAATTATAAAGGAGTCATGCTTTGCTGTGTTTTAAATTTCTAAAGGGAAGACTAAAAGTGCTGAAATAAACCTAGTGAGAAATGATGCTGACTGTAATAAGATAGTTGTACTAAGGAGTTTGGATTCATGACAGACATTATTTGTAGCTTCAATATTCTTTTATTATTCCATCTGCACACACAGTATTGCAATGGAAGGTCTTATATTGACTTCAGCTGGCAAGCAGCAAGAAGCAAACAGGAAAGAAATCAAGAAACTGCATTTGAAATATAAAACTCACTCAGTGTATGTTGGGTATAAAGATAATCTAGGGTTTTACACAAATTTTCTAGAATCCAGACCTGCAAGGCAAGAAAAGAAGACAGCAGGAAATCAATGCTCTACCATTTTTCACCATAAATCTCACCAGTATTATTTAGCCTAATAAAAAGTATTCCTTCTCCTGCAAGCCTTAGAATATTGTATCCTCATCACTTCTTTCCCTCTATTATAATTTTGCTACATTTCCTTGACAAGTAATAATTAGGTCAATTGACTTGCAAACCCCACAATTTTTCCCATTTCATCAATAAGGCACAGTAGACATAGGTCAAAGTGTTTGAAAAGTCAAAAAACACTTTAATTTTTAAATATTGTTGCCATGCAAAACTGAAACAGAAGGTGGAGCCACATTATTTGAAAAAGAAACCAAAAACTTGCCCGAGATCTTCACTCAGAAATCCTACAGGAATCTGCATTCAGTTTCACAAACTCAAAAGAGAATATGGCTCACAGACTCACCGCGCCCACCACGCTCCACTACAAAGTGGGGTAGGATCTCCCTGAATATGTGTCTTGTAGCAGTACAATGAAAATTGGCTGTAATAAAGTGATGTTGACAATTTGCAAAATTACAGGACCATATTGGACAGAATAGAATACTAGGCAAAAAATAAAAAATATCAGACCATGCTCACAGATACTATGAATGGAAAAAATTTCTTTTTTTACACTTATGAAATCATCTCAAATCTTTGGTAAACTCAAGTTGCATTATTACAGAAAAATTTGGAAAACCTGGGGAATTTTAAGTAGTTTTCCCTGGGAACTATCAAATGAAGTATTATTGCTGCTATGTCAGACAGATGAAATGCAGTATTGCAATAGTTAAGATGATGAGATGTTGATTTTTAATGCTAATTGCTAAATAAAAAAAGAACTAATGTGCTGTAAAGTGAATTAAGACATCCTCAAAAAGACATGAAATGTGAAATGAGATAAAAAATTGACAGTCTAGCAGTTTTTAATGGAAAGAATAATATAGTTAGACAAAAAGGCATATGTCACCTTCATTGCTGTATAAAGGGTGAAAAACTAGGTGGGCTTCCTGAAAAAAAAAGAAGGCAAGTGCACAGCAGTTCAGTCATGGCTGATTCAGATGCAGATGTCTAAAGTCAGACAGGCAGACAAATAGCACACACTGAATGTGGTAACAAGAACATTGTCAGACACCAAAAAGAAAACACAAATTTGCTTTGTTCACCTTTTCTTCTTCCCAATTCTCTGTTTGTTGTTTCATTTGGTGAAGAAGATCTTCATTCTCTTGGATCAATTGTCTGTTTCTTTCTCTCAGGCTCTGAAGATAGTAAAAGAAGGCAAAATTTTGACACTATTTTTCAGAAAAGCCTGCAGTTTGAGTTTTTTTTTTTTGTTCCACACATGCATTAAAAAGTCATAACATTTGGTCCAGGTTGCTAAGACCTGGAGATCTCACACAAAAAATAATTAAAATTCCCATTTTGCTATAACCATGTGTGACCAGAGGTAGTCTGATTCTAAAGACCATTCCTAAAGACTTGAACACTCAGAACTTTTTCCTGTAGCAGACCAGAAGGAGGAACTGGATAAACTTTAATATCTGTTTCACCAGAAAAGCAGCACACACCGTACATATTCTAGAATGGATTCACATTTATTTGCATGAAAAGAAAGCTATTTCCAAGTGCAAAAGCACAGTTATGCCATGGTATGCTGGTTTGGATGTATACTGTGCAAGGCTTTACTCATCTCCAGGAGACAGACATAGTTTTGTATTGATTTCACAGATTGTTAGTTTACATGAAGAAAACAACCTCTGTAAGTACCTGTCATGCTTATCCCCATGTAAAAATTGTAATACTGGCTTACCTTAACTATATCTTGCCAGTGTGTGTTGCTCTGGTTCATCAGTTCTTGGTAAGCTTCTAACTGGGATTTCAGACACCTCATTTTCTCTCCATGTTTCTTTATAGTAGTTATAGTCTGCTCCTGTATTACAAAATATTGAGAAAATTAATAATGATGAGAACAGAAAGCCAGGCATGATTAAAAAAATAGTTTCCACAACAGCTAATGTTTGATTCTCTTTATTCAGTGTCTGCTATTTTCTGCAAACATTTCTTATTTATCACAGGAGGTTTGTACTTTCACTTGCTGCAGACTTTGAACAAAAATTACTGCTAAACTAATTTATCTTTTATGTATTTTTCTGCAGAAGTAAAACCCAAAGCCTTTCTGAGAGCTGACCAGAATGAATTCACTCCAAGCACAGCTAAGCAATTTTAAAGAAATTAAACTTAACTCAGAAAACAAAAGCTTGGAAGTAGTATAAAAAAATACGTGCAGCAATGAAAATGAAAGAAGTTCTGTGAAGAAAGGTCATTACAGTCCTGTTGTTTGCATCAGTGCCCAGTGGCAATTGTCTCCTGTTATACTTCTGGATTCTTCCTGATTCTCTTTCTCTTCCCTTAGTGATCTGGAGTCAGCTGAAAGTGCAAGGCGGGACTGTGTCAGGATTACTGGCACATTCCTACTGAAGCACAGAAATGGATTTACACAGCTGTTGCAATTCTTCTGGGAGGGTATCTAGCCTTTGTACACTACATACATGAAACTCTCAATTTCAGCTGACAAATGGAAGAGTTTGTTTGCTTTCCCTTGGAAAGTCTAGAGGAATTTCCAAATTTCTTCTGTCTGTGCACCAAGAATAAACCTTAATTTTGTGGAAAACATACACCTTCGTAGGAACTAAGTGCTTGTTTTACTCTGATCAGAATAGGAGAACGATGTGACAAATAGAAAGATAAAGCAGTAGCTGCAAGAAAAGATTCCAGAACAGTGTAGCCCAAGATGATGTTGATAATTTAATCTTCTGGGAGCAATGTTGAGTAATGGAATGCAGAAATGCTTCCACTAAAGAAAGCGAGGTATTTGGAGTTATGGTCACAGGAATGGTACCTCTGGATTCTCATTGTAACCTTCCAGGGTTTACAGTTGAAGAGTGTTTGATATTTTGTAAGTTATATTGACAAAACATTGTAAGGCTAAAGCAAAGGTAAGTACAAAGCAGACAAAAGAGTACCCACAGAAGAAAAAGACATAAAGGCAACACAGTTCTGACAGTCATTCTTGAGAGGCATAGCCTACATAAATGCAAATGTTTCAACCATGGTGTCAATCATGAAAAGAAGGTGTAATTTAAAAGAAAATTTTAGTAACAAATAAAGTTTAGAAAAATCTTTGTCATCGTGCCAGGCAAAAAGTAAAATTAGACTTCACAAAGTTGTAAGATCACATAAACTTCAAGACGCACTGATGTTGTTTACAGATACTTAGAAGGATAGGTGTATGGAGACGTAATTCTGAATGAAGTAGATTTTATCCTTCTGTATAATTTTGAAGGTAAAATACAACAATGCTAATGCTCCAGAATACTTACCTGGTTTTTTTTCCTTATATTGTCTAGTTTTCTGATTATTTTCATGTGTTTGTTTTTCATTTGCTGCATGTCTTTTACAATCTGTAGCGGATGAAGGAAATTATCAAATCAGACCATTACCAACACTAGTTATAATGAACCATCAAACAACTTTGAGGTACATTTCTTAAAATGACAGATACACTACAATGAAGAATTTGATCTTGAAAACAGATAAAGGACTGCAGGTCAAAGCTTTCAGGCTTCAATAACTAGAAAATATGTTACGCTATTGAACAAAAATCTGTAGATGACTTGAAATGGAATTTGTCTTCTGGTCCTAGTATTGCGTCTCCACTTCTTCCTTTTTAATGTAGTGTTCTAAATTGAAGACACAGTCATTACAATTATTCATACGCAGTCATACAATTATTATTATGTGAAGTTTATTACTGGAAAAAAAGGGTCACAGTGGAGAAGACTGCATTTTTGCATTTAAGAGTTAGATATAGGAGTGTAGGGGTTTCTTTACCTTGGTGATATACGATGTAGCTAAATTGTAGGGAATATACAGCACTTCTTTGGTTGTACATTCTGTCAGCTCAGTTACTTTGTGATCAGTGTCAGAACAACCCCCAGACATTGTAACATGATCTACTGCATAAAAAAATTTATCAATTGAAAAGCAGAGCAGCTTCAGAAGAACATTTAAAATTTTTTATTAGAGGTATCAAGTATAGTTTTAAATTTTGGGTTCCCCCCGCCCTCCACCCCCCCCCCCCCCCAAATAACAAATAAAGTAGACTTTTGGGAGGAGAATTATAGCAACTCTTACTTGTCAACTTTGATCTCTGCACACCATCACATGTATTTATGCAGTCTGACAATTACTTGTCCCTCTCTACTCTGATATTTCTTACTTACATAAATTCGTGTCATTAAAATAAAAAAAAAGTCATGCAGAAACGTTACCTCTTAAGAAAACAAGCTTTTATCACAGTTAAGAGGACACTTTAATTCTTTCTAAAGCTATAAGTTATTTGACACACCCTGTTTTTAATAGTGTATGATATAAGTTCTCACCTTTTTCTTAATAGTCGTTTTTGTTAGAGAAGAACATAAAATTATCATCCTCCTCCTCCTCCCCCCACCCCCCCACCCCCTCAGTCTCTCTTTGAAAAATTACTTTGCGTATCATAATCCTCAAGCAAGTTTCATAATTAACTAACAAGTGTATATGGTCAAAAGAGACTGATCTATTTACTTAGATACTTAGAATAGTGACTTCTATATATATCTACACTTAGGATCTTCATTTGAAAATCCAGGTTACACAACTGCATTCAATTAGAACTCACATACAAGAAAAAAAAAAAGTACAATCCTCCTATTTTTTTTAATGCGCTACATGTTCCAGAAAGCACAAATAATACTTGATAGGTAAATATACCTTTTTCTTGAGTTCTGTTTTCACTCCATCCAATCAAGGAATTCAGAAATGACCACTTGTTTATATTGATTCCAAGCTTGTGCAACCATGAGTTTCCCTCTCCATCTGTTAACAAAATTCATGTCCTAAAATCTTATGAAGCTCATTGAAGTTTTTGCACTAATTCTCTTCAGACCAAAAGCATTTTATATTATTAAAATGGTTACAAAAGTATGAGCCTGGAAAGTCATTGAGAGAGCTGCAAGCGTAAGAAGGATTTAATACTTGTGTGAGACTTGAATGGTTCCACCTGATACTGAAAATAGAGAGGCAGTCAATCCAAAGGCTATATTCTGGACTTGTTTCTCATTTTCTGTGAAAATAATATCAAAATATATTTTGAAAAACCAAAAAATAAACTGGAAGTTGCCCAATATCTTGGAAAACCTATGTGTATGGGTGTGTGTATGTGTGTTAAGGGGTAGGACTGTATTGCATTGCTACATGAGGTACGTCTTACCCAGGTTTATTTATGAGCACTCTGGATGCATACAACACTCCTGCGGAGAGAAAACAAAGCCACAACACCTTCAAGTGTTCTGGTGTAAAAGAAAAAATAGTGCCTGAAAGAAGTCTTCTGACTCTTTGAATTGGTCAAAACAATTATCAGAAATTCAGAATTTTTGTCCACTGGGGAATTCCAAATACCTTTCCTGAGGTCCTAAAGCAATGCTAATTTACTTACATAGTGCAGTAATTTTATATAACAAAATATATATCTCTTCACATTGCTTCTACTAAATACATTGTAGGAGGATGCACTGCTTTAAAACACAGTCTGTCCAGCTGTTAGGTGGAGCAACCACATCCTGTTCAGATACAGCCATAAAAGTCTTGTTTTTCAAAATCTAGGTTTAATGATTTATAAAATACATAACTAAACAAATGTTGAATAGAATACCCTTGTCTCAAGCTATTCTTTGTTTCTGAATTAATTCTTTTCATCACGATACATTACATACATATATAAATATATCAGCTTTTGTTCTGTGAATTACATCATTGAAGGACACATATTAACTTATATATAGAATAGTTACTTCTTAAAAGACTTGACTTTTCACATCTACATCCTTTTGGTTCACATTTTGCTTTCTTTCTGCCACCTTGGAGACTCTCACTAGCCTTCCACTTCATATAATCCTACTTTAGGCAAAAATAACCACTAGTGTATCGGTGATTGCAGGCCAAGAGTGTAGAGTCTATCCTTCCCTCTAGGATAAAGTCTAATTTCAAACCCTTAATGGAAATCAACATATAGACTTCATTTCCAACTCAAAAAAATGCATTTACTACATCATCTACTGAAATGACTACAAAGTTTGTCTTCAATCTATACAGGCCATTGGGAAGAAAAATATTTCAAACTCCTACCAGTTAATTCATGCATGCGAGAAATCAGTCTACATGTCTTCTGTTTAACTTGGCATTTTGTAGCGCATGTCACTCTAAAAACTACTGAACATACCTTTTTACACCACTCCTGTGAGTTAACCATTATAGAACTCTGTGGTATGGTAGGAATAAGACATCTGTAACAGTTCTTTCTGTTTCTTTCAATGCCATCAATCAGACTTCTTCAAAAAGGCACTCAGTACCACAGCTCCTTACAATTTAATTCCATTCGAATGTAAGGCTCCTCAAACCAGAGGTCTCTCCTTTCTCAGATTACAACTAGAATGAATGCATCCAGTACAGACTAGGCAGTCATATTATTGCTTCTGAGTAGTTACAACTGCACTTTTTGACAATTTTAATAGAGGTTGCACACTTTGCTTTGGAAGTTACAGATGCGGAACATAACAAAATTAGGTTCTGTTCTGATGCCTTTAGTTTTAGCATGTACAAAGCCAATATGCATCTCTTGTACATGAGGAGTTGGATGATCACATCCATAACCTATAGGCTGAACCATGACAGGAACTCTCCTACTTAGTCTATAGTGTCGCTCATCTGTATTCAAGCTATATTAGCACTGTGCACTATAGTGGTTTATGCAGTTCTGCTTCTGTGACACTACAATATAGTAACACCTTTTGTGGCAAACAGTGAAGTACAATTTCATTCTAAACATCTGAGGCATGAACTAGTACTTACCCTCCTCAGGTGTGTCTTCTACTGTAAGACTTTTAATCACATGTGACGGATATTCCTGTATGTCCTCTGAACAATCGATAACGCTGCCCGGTAGAAGAACAAATGAGTGAATGGCAGTCTGTGGTTTAGCTTCAGGATCAATTCTTGCAGAATCTTCAGAGACTTGCCAGCCTGAAGGGTTAACTGTTTGCACCAATGCTTATGGAAAAACAAGCAGTATAATTGTTTTAATGAAATACTAGATAGGAAAAATTGAGAGTCTTAAGAACAAATATCATGAAACAAGATCAGATTTGTAAGATCACACCTGAAAATGGAAACTGACAGCCAATCTAATTAAAGCTAGATTAGTTTCTTAGAAAGTGATCAGAACAAACCTTTAATTTGAGGTCTTTTCTTTCTGTCTGTTTTGAAATGTAACATTATTTGATGATTTAATCTTGGTTTGACTGTTAGATTTAGCTGAATAGCAAGCACATCAAGGTCCATGGAATAAAGTTACCAAAATTCTCCAGCTATGCTGAATAAAACCTGCCAGCTCTCCTGCAGCTTCCACCCAAAAGCACATCTCAAACACATGCCTCAATGCATAACTCTTGGCCAGCGTTTGCCTCTGGATATTTTAAAGATATCTGTTCTCTTGCTATGATCAATTTCTGTCATCTCAAAAAAAGTTTTCTTTTTTATGAATTTCAAATAAGTAAAAAATATTTACTAGTGAAAAGCCTTCTTTCTTTTTTTTTTTTTTTTTTAATACCTTGCCAATCTCATAAGTTCCATAGAGAAATATGCTACTTTTCTAGCTCTTCATGGTGCATATGGAACATCCAGGAGGAAAATGAATGCTTGATTTGGAGCATGAAATAAAAATGATAGGCTTTTTTGGGAAGCAATCAGAGCCCATGCAAAGGAATTAAAATGTAGGTAACTATAAGTTCAGCAACAGAACTCATGTTGTTATTATAACTCATGTTATAATTTCCAGCTATCTGGCTAGGGATCTCAGCACTGGTACTTGCTCACTTCCTGTAAACATTGCACAAAACGTCCTGAAACTTTTAAAAAGTAGGCTTATGTTCATTAAAAAGGCCTGTAAATTACACATCCAGAAGCAACAGTGGTGATTTAAGTTACTTATGTGGTTAACATAAAGAATTATGATGATAGCAAAGAAAAAATTAATACAGATTGGTTGTAGTTGTGTATAGCTAAGGAAGCTGACAATGTTTTCATATGGCAGACTGAAAAATGCAGCTCAGAAAAGGCGTATAACAAACATCAAGCTGGTTTAACTAATCCTTCCCTCCCACCATCACCAGAGTTGTGAATTTTTTTTATGTTTCCCCAATCAATTTGGTAACACTAGCCAAACAGCACAAGAATATCGTTCTATATTTCTATACCAGCTTCTGCTGTGTTTTAACCCTGTCTAGCAGCTCAGCCCCACGCAACTGCCTGCTCACTCCCCCACAGTGATGGGTGAGTGAATCAGAAAGATAAAAGCGAGAAAACTCATGGGTTGAGTTAAAGAAAGCTTAGTAGGTAAAGCAAAGCTGTACATGCAAGTAAAACAAAATAAGGGATTAATTAATTACTTCCCATTGTCAGGCCGATGTTATCTACAGGAAAACAGAGCTCCATCACATTAATTGGTACTTAAAAGACAAATGACGTAACTCCAAAAATCTTCTTTCTCTTTTCTCTAAGCTTGTATTGCTGTGCACAACATCGTATGGCACATGACATTCCCTTGGTCGCTATTGTGGTTTAGGAATACTACCCCCCAATTCAGTGCTCCCACTGAGACTTTACCAAATCAAACGCCACTCTCTCTCACTGTCCCTTCCCCTCCCTCTTTCTGCTGTGATGGTATAGAGTTTAGAATTGGCAGGATAAAAGGCAAGGGTCACAGGTTGACATAAGAACACTTTACTGAAAACAACAATGAAATAAGAAAATGAACCGTAACAGCAATTAACAATATTAAAAACATAAGTATACAAAAGAGAGTGATTCGCATGCAGAAATGCTCACTTTGGACTCTAACAATAGGGAACAGCTCCCCCTGGCACAGTTTCTTAACCAGAGGGAACTGCTTCTCCCTGTAGGAGAGAGAGTTCCTTTATGCTGCCCCCAGCAATGATGTGGTCAGAATCAGTTCAGACAGTTAGGGTCAACTCCTTGTGTACTGCCTGCTCACTGGTGGGCTAATGTGATGAACAGAAAAGGCCTGGATGCTATGTAAGCTCTGCTCAGCATTAACGCTGTGTGTTATCAACAGTGTTTTAGTCACAAATCCATAGTACCATACAGGTTGCTGTGAAGAAAATTAACTCTATCCCACCCAATTCAGGGAAGCTTCCAAGCAGCCTGAAAGGTAGGTGATATTAGGCTGGTAGGTGAGTGAAAATTTATTAAAGCTAGAAGGACAACAGTGGTTTTCATCCAAGTTAATTGTAATAAGCATTTAAACTTATGAGGTAAGAAAACTGAAGTATAAAAACTCTGTGCAGAAAACAAACTGCTATAGGCTTTTGTGCTGAGTACAAAGGTTTGATGAAGGCTACATACAAATACAATATTGTTTAATAGTACTCACTACGTGTGAGAGAGAGAGAGACTGAGAAACACTGACTCACACACAGAAGCACCATTGGAAGAGTGAAGGAAGCTCCAGAGAAATATTTATAAATACCTTTTAAGCTAAGATTAAAGATGAGCAGGTTTTGAGTATAGCATTCCCTATAGTAAGAGGCTTGTATCTGTAAAGACAAAGCCATCACCTGCTAGATTCTACGGTAGTTGGGATACAAACGAGGATTTTTCACAGTCCCTTTTAATAATTTTTTTAATTAAAAAGATAACACTATAAATAACCCTAAGCTATCATCATCTGCATTTCTGTATATCAAATAACAGTGACTTAGAAGGAAAGGACTAAACCTAATAAGTTCTGATGAGCTTTCATTCATGCAATGTGACAGAGTCAAAAAGTTCTTCCTTTATGACTAGGCTAACTTGTCTGCGGTCTAATGGAAGTAATTCCCAGAAGATTTCATCTTGTTATTAGAATTCAATTTAAATGAAAGTATTTTCACAATTTAAGAAGGCATCTAGTATGTTTCCTTCAGACTGTAAGATCTTCATTAATTGTCTTTCTTTGTACTTGGAAAAAGCCTCACCACATAAAATACATACAAACTGGTAAAGTTCTACTGACAGTGACTCTACCTCAGTCTTTCTTTTGTAAACAGAGGATTCCACCAAAGACTTTTTGAAATAGGTATCTATGCCTGACTTTGCAGAGCAGGACTTTTGATATTGTATGCTTCTAAGAAGTGGTGAGAAAATACATCCTTCATCTATTTAGTAGAAGTGCAGACAGTAATGACTAGTATAATATCAGAAGTAATTTGGAGTTTTATTTAACTTGCAGTCATTTCTTTATTGTATTTTAGACTTAGATTTGGGGTTTGAAGTGAGGTTTTGGATCAATTCTGCCTAGCATTATTTACGATGTAAAAGGAAAGACTTTTAATTTGATAAATGTAGGCAGACCCCCTGTAGTATAACCTGAATAATTTCTTTTCTTTCAAAAGGATTTGATAGAATTCCCCATGACAGGAGGTTTAGACTAGATGATCTTCACAGGTCCCTTCCAACTCAAGACCTTCTGTGATTCTGTAATTAATTTTCATGTCACCCTCACTTCCCAGTGTGGATCTCAATATGCTATTTCTTTTCATCTTTAATTCCCTAATCAGAATCTTTCCATGTACAAGACTAATTTTGAAATTTAAAGGGGTATCATTTTTACATGGAAGTTTTAATTTCCATACAACGTTTTAATTTCTCTGACAAGATAGGAACTTTCCTCATGTGTTCCATTCTTGGAAATTAGCACACAGTATTTTTGTCACTCATCCTCTCAAGTGTTAGTTGGTTTTTGTCCTGTTTGTACATACTACTCCTAAATGATGAGAAACATAAAACATTCTCACATTCATAATCCTTACACTGAAGTCTGAACAGAGAACATGCTCAGTCATCCACAGTGTCTATCATCATTATGTAACCAACTGTCTTAGGAGGGAAAGTGAACAACAGCTATCTGTGTCTGCATCTCCTGTGTGATGGTTAAGGAACGTAGGTGGCAGGCTGTGCTAAGAAAGATACTCGCTTGGTTGAGTTGAAACCTTAATTTACACTTTGACATTGATGTCTGGGAAGCACAGAGGGACTTTCTTCTTTTTTGAAATAAAAGTCACAATTTTAAACAGGAACATTCTGCCTTTCAGTTTATAGCCCACTTGCTTTATAGGTAGGCTACTCCTTCCTGGTATTTTACACTGAAGAATTAACAATACATTTCAGTTGCCACTGTAATTCATGCAATGGTAATGGAAATCTCTTAATGTTATTTCTGTGCTACTTCATGCCAATTCCAGTAAATTTCCCTGTTCTAACACCGAGATGTATTGAGCACAAATTCTGAGATCCATCTTGTAGTTTTGTCACATTCCCATTTAGGTACTTTTTTTGCTATAGTGACTTCTATTTCACTCCTTGAAGCGGTATATACTGCTTTGTGACAGTGGGATATTTTCCTTTCAGAAAAGTGGCCAGTAACAATCTTGAAAATGTACAGAAACAGAAGTATCTTCAAAATATTGCTTAAAGCAGCAAACAAAATGGAAGAGGACCATTTGTTTGGGGGGTCATAACTTATAGCTTTAATGTTTAATTTTTCCAGTGCCAGGGAATTTTTTTCCTAAGAAAATAAAGACTTCAAAGCATGCCAGCATAGAGAAAATCATGATCCTATTATATTGTCATTAAAATACTATTATATTGCATTCTAAGGACATATTTTCATTGTACTTTAAAAGTATTAGTGTATTAGAATCTGCATTTTTCAAGTGATCAAAACAAAAAACAGAAAAAATGTCGTTGCATTGCACTTTCCTCATAACTAATCTCTTCTGAAGAGAGATAAGAGAAAAGACAAAGCAGATGTGCCATGTTTTTTATTGTTACATAAAGAGAATATCTCTGAGGATCTCAAAGGCAACTGGTCTGGCACTTGTTTTCTTTGTATTCATGAATTACATATGTTTTTAATTCTCAGTAGTAACGTTTTTGAAAGGTATAAATGCTGCTATTGTGGTTACAATATTATTCTACCAAAATGAAAAGAT